AGACATATTAGACAAAACTCAAGCTCACAAAAAAAAAATTTAATATACATTTTTTTGTTTGCTGAAAACTTGTGGTATGAAGGCATGACTGATCTTTCCAGCCGAATAAATTTACTTGCACAAAATAGGTGTACGTGTTTAAAAATGTTATAAAACAGTTATGTGGCGATATAGCACACGCTCTCGAAAGTTCGTGTGTCAATGACGCTGTAAGTGTGTGCTGAAAATAAATCACGTGTGACAAATTTCTATGCAGCGAATATTTCGCCGCTACGAAAAATAAAAACAAAATCTAATAATAACGAATGGAGAGCAAACACATACACTCAAGGCACTCAAACCTACATTTGCAGACAATATGAACACACACACTTTCGAAACAGCTGTTGACATTTGGCAACGCAGGATGCAAAGTTACGCTAATATTATGCCCTACAGTTCAAGTATTATTACCAATAACACACAACGCTACACTTATGTGCATGTGTGTAGGCGTCTCGACAAGTTAACTAACCCCAGCCATGGCAGGTAGTCAGATGTCAGGTCCTATGGCGTGGCAACCCAAAAGTATTAAATTTTAATGCGACAAATTCAAATGACATTGACTTTCTTCTAGGCACAAATCATCGGATGTGCATATGTGTGTTATTTTTTTGTATATATAATATAACTGTAATATTTATTGGTGTATATATTTGTGTATATGAATTACAACACCAAACCCTCAAAGAACAAATATCTTATTTATAAAATATGTAAATGGCAAAAAGCTAGAATTCCAATATAACAACAAAGTGGGGTTATTTAAACGTTATTGTGAGCTTTTCTAAGCTTAAATGTTTGTAACAATCTATATATATATATGTATGTAAGTGTAAATTTACATTCTTTTATTTATTTATTTGCTATGTCATTTTAGCCGCAAAGAAAGAAGCCAATCATTGTGAAAGGCAAGTGAAGGTACGCTCACCTCAGCCGCAGAGTAGAGAATCAACCACAAACCGCAAAACGAACAAATTTGTGTGCAGTTATATAAGCACGTTTTACACATTCTCAAGTTTTTATGTTCCCCGAAGCTAAAAATTCTAAACGACCACAATTTGGCAAATACTTCCCATTTCCGGTTTACCCTTTTGACTTTTACCGAATTTATGGTTATCGCATATTGCTTGAAGGTATTCTATCAACACATGTGACCGTGTATGTATTGAAATAAGATCAACGTATGTTGGTAATCAGGCAATAATTGAGTAGCGAATTTAATAGATGACTATGTAGATGTTTTTCGCTAGTATTATTTTTTCATTTCTGGTTGTTTAGATGAGAATGGTGAAATGAGAAATATTGCAGTTCAGCATTGAAAAAGGCTCACATTTTAAAATTATAATTAATATATATTTACTACGAAAAACGACGGTCGCACTATATAAAGTAATCTATATGGTGGTTTACTTAAAAAACATATTCAAGCATGAACAATATTTTTGTCCTTCTGTTAATATATTACTTCTTTTGTTGAAGCATAATTTATAGATGGCATTTTCATTGGTAAATAACGTCGTGTGATTATATTAACTGATTGAAGCGTCGTGAGTATTAGTCGTCGTATCGTTAAAAGACTGTTTTGCTAGATATGGTCGTAAAATTTGTGTCAAAGTAAATTAAAACTAATTTCGGGAGGCGTATAATTCGCCTTTTAGCGAAAACTTTATTCGTTGGTGCAAGCCTGAGGATATTACTGTTACTGTACATATTTATTTTGAAATGAAGAACTCGCTCTAAAGGCAATGGTAAACCAAATACAACATTCTGGTTTGTTATTTTGTAAGTGCAGCAAGCTTAATCCACCACCACCTATAGCTCAAGCTTTCATTTGATCTGTCTGTATATTATGAGCAATGAGGTAACAAAACCTTCAAAGCTTTGGAACAGAACTAAGGGGGTGTTCTAGTGCAGAAATAATATATATTTTTTTAATTTTCAAAGCTTAACTCTTGAAGAATATGTTCCTAAGAGGGCAACCAACGATATAGATATATAGATATAAAAGTTTGTCAAGATTTCTGAAGAACTACTTATTACTATTACTAATCATAATTTAGACCAAACTGATTTTTATACTCTTGCAACATGTCGCTATAGAGTATAATAGTTTTGTTCACCTAAAGTTTGTATAAATAATGAGGATGGCGCGACGAGTTGAATTCCGAGTGACTGTCTGTTTGTCCGCCCGTCCGCGCAATCTGTAATATATTGAGTAAAAATTGAGATATCGTATATACCTATGTATAGCTTGGTACACGGGTTACTTGGAAACAATGGGCGTTAACGGAGCACTGTCACACCCACAAAAAAAATGAAAGAAGCACTTGTGGCTAAAAATTAAAAAAAAATGAGCATGGCCAAGCCCGCTAAGAGGTATATGGCAGATATCTCCTAATAAGATACAATAAACAAATTCACTCAGGATAAATTTCTTAAGCTACCATACCGACATTGTAAAAATGGATGAAATGGGTTGATAACCGCACCCGAGATAATACAAGAAGGCTTTGTAGGAGCCGGTATAAAAATAAGACGATGGACGTGTCACCGCCTAATTTTATGTGTAATATTATCCTGACTTACTTGTGCAGTGCGAAAATGGGCGAAATCGGACTAAAACCACACCTACACAATTTTAAATTTCCTCTGATTCTTTTATTTTCCAGTATGCAAATCAAGTACCAGTGAATGTATAGGGATAGTGCGCTTAAAATAGGCCACCTTATGACCAAAAATTGTCAATAGCAGTTAACATTTAATCGAAAATGTCGGCTAATCAATGAGATTAAAATTCGATTAATCCTTTCTTTAGCTCGTCTTAGTTTTAATATAAAGTTTTACCAACGCCTGAAAGTAAGTCCCCGGCTTTCATCCTTGTAAGTTTCAAGTATAAAAGATGTTCGGTTACACCCGAACTTGGCTTTTGATTACTTGTTTTAACTACTTTTAAAAAATTCAGAACATTATTAAAAAACATATTACCAAGTCCATCTCTTTTTTCCATCCGGAATTTATCAACAATGAAGTTATCGGTAGTTTTTCGTAATGATTATATGAAGATACCAGTTTCATATATTAAAAAAATAAAAATAGTATATTTCATTTAAAAGAGACTATAATGTTTTTTTTGAGTATTATTAGTAGTTCTCATTAGTTTCATTTATTAAAAAATGAAAATGTTGTATTTCATTTTAAAGAGACTATGTTGGTTTCTATGAGTATTTATTATTTCTCAATACAAAATTGAAATGTTAGATTCTAAGAGTATTATTCTATACTTTCTCTGCACTCGTGCGTTTTTTTAAATACTTTTAAAAATTAACGAAAAATGCATTTCTAAAACTCTAATAAAAGAAACTAGTATTTTTGTAGCCCTTAACATATGTTTATTACTCATACGCTACGTAGTACTAAGGTACTACCTGCAGGCAGATAGTCTTTGTTTTTTAATAATTTCTTAAAAAAATGCAAGTCTCACTGTGCGCTTTTATAATATAATACAACGAATTCTATTGCAGTAGGGTATGCTGGCTCCCATAAAATATATAAACACCACTACAAATGCAAGAGCATATATTTCTCTATATTGTGTGCGCTACATTCAAATTCTTGCTACTCAAACATTGAATATGCATATTTTTGCATATTTATAACGTTAAAAGTCACCTACAATTACCTGCGATTTGTTTGTGTTATCATATATTTATAAACATCCATATTTACTCGACGATATGCGACTTCACATGCTACGGAATTTACTTACTTTATTTGGTTTGCTAAACTAGAATGTAGTTTTCCACTTTATATGCAGTTTGGTTGCTTTTTCTATTATTTTTAGCTGAAATGGTAATTAACAAAATTTCTGAAAGAGAAGTATAGGTCCGAAAAAATGTATGTATGTGCACCTATAAATCACAGGATTCTCGCTCGGAAAGCAGTCTACTATTCAGTAGCAGTTTTGCTTCCAGCGTTTAGCTATGTATTTCAACACAGCCTGGAATATGCATGTAGCACCAAATGTTTTATACTTCCACTGAAATTTAATTTAGTGCGTAAAATATTGAGAATTTCTTGCATAGAAACGCAACTGAGATTGTGATTAGGCGACATCATGAAGTCTTGGTTGAGTTTGTAACTTAAATAATGAGTGTTATACAAATTGGTAAAGAATTTATTTTCAATTATATAATATTAAAAGTTTTCAATGATATTTTAAGCAGAATATATTATGTGCATCTCGAACAACCTATACAGTATACAAATAAATTATCAGCGTGTCGCACTGAGTCGATTTAGCCATCTCCGTCCGTCTGTTAATATACGAAATAAACCCTCAGTTTTTGAGATATCGATCTGAAATTTTGCGCTTCTCCTTTTCTAACCAAGAAGTAGCTCATTTTGCCGAAGTGGCAGATATCGGACCACTATAAAAGGAATAAAGTGCTTGTATGGAAAGCTTTTTGATTTGACGGAGTATCAAGAAATACGACGCGGAAATTGTTCAGATCGAATCACTATAGCATATAGTTGCCATAAAAACTGGCCGAGTTCTAAAGAATTTTTTTGTACTTGTGAAGGGTATTTTAGCTTCGGTTCAACCGAAGTTTCGTGCTTTGTTTTGCTTTCACTTCTTCCTATTTATTGACCCGGATTGACAGACTTGAATCCAACTTAAACAGTTTCAGATTATATTAAGAGATATATTCTTTCTTGGCCACGACCTTATATTATATTTCTAGATTCGTCTCCCCTTTAGAGCGCACATAACTATGGTATTTCGGAAAATGGTTGCGTTCCGCAATAAGCGAATACATGCACCATTTCTTTTAATAAAAAATTATAATAAATTAGGTTAATATTCGTAATACTTGAAAATTTTTTTATATACACCCCTATATTTTTATATACATCTACAAATAACGCCTCTAATCACTCTTCTCTATTCTCTTTTTCAGAATGCAATAAAAAATTACATTTTGTGCTCACCAAAGTGTAATTTTGATTCTGATAGTTATACCAAGCCTTAAGTAACTAAAGTGTAAAGTGTTAGAAAAAAATCCTGAGATAAATAGTGTATTCAAGCAAAAGTAGCCTAAAGTACATCGCAACAACTAAAACCAAAATAGTGTACACACACGTAAGCGGACGGCAGGAAAATGGGCAAGAAAAACTCGAAATTGAAGCAAGACACTATCGATCGTCTAACAACAGCCACATACTGTGAGTACAATAATAATTTATTTATATACATATATGTTTCATATAAATATGATATTTATCTATGCGACTTTACAAAACGTTGGCAGCAATTTTCAAGTTTAAAGTGCACAGAAATAGAGTTGTGCCAAACTGCAATGTCATTGAAAACGCTGTTTGTCAACAAAAAAGGTACGAATAGAAAAAATTTTCAAAAAAGAAAGCCCAAAATACCCAAAGTGCGGCACATAATTGCTTTGCGCAGTGCAAAAGGCGATGTGAAAATAACGCGCCAAAACTCCACTGTTTTTCCTTTATTTTTGCATGTGACTTTGCATAAGTGTCCTCCAAAAAGTTTCCAAATTTAAATTATAATACATTGCTGACATTGCGAAAGCTTTCAAGGCACCGAAGCAGTGCAAAAGCAAGTATGGAGAAAAAAAACAAATTTTGGCAGCAAATTTTTTGCCGAAAACATAAACATTTATAAATATATTTTTCCTATTTGCTAAATATGGGTATATACTCGCACATTATATAGATACAGACATGAGCTCATTCCAAATGCACGAAACAAACTCAGACATCAGAAGTAAACTGACTTGGAAGGCACTTTTGCGGTATAATTTCTTCAAAACGTTTCTTGACTCTATATTGAGATTTTTTGGCAAAGGCGTTCTGCCTCAATTGGTTGGCTAACTGCTGCGCCGGATTGCGCTAGGGAAATATAAAATACAACAGAGGAGCAAAAGGCGGAAAATTGCAAAACAAAAAACATTAGTAAGCACACAGACGACAAGTGAACACAAATTACTTTTATAAAGATTAACGAAAGTTTTTGTTGTTGTAGAGTGCAGTAATTATAGTCACTTTAGAAATTAAAAATACATCCTAACATTTTTTTGAATTTAATTAATTCCGTGACAATAATCCATGCCAAATTTCATGCAGATATCTCGTCAAAACAAAAGTTGAAACTGCTACTGTGAAAGTTTAAATTCCTTATTCGCTACTATTTTATCGGTTTTCATGAAAAGAAAATAGGCTGAAAGACCTCAATAAACAAACCGTATAAAGGTGACCCTTTCAGTGGCTAATGGGGTAAGTGTTAGAAGATTAGCTTCAATGAAAACCTTTTAGCAGAAACTGTTCGTTAGGTATTCATATTACTGTGAATTTCATGAATTGTATAGTACTTTTTCTATAGTTTTAAGGTCATAATAAAATTGAGGAAGTTTCACTTTGATGAACAGTTTGTTTCTAAGGCTACTAATACAATTTTTAATGACCATAATTTTTGTTCACCAACTCTATATTAGTAATAATTTATGTAGGATTTTTGTACAGTTGTCTTAGTATGTACGCTTTTTCTGATAAATATATTTCAAATGTTACACTTTTTTCGTATCTCATACAAGTGAAATTAAAAATTTGAAATTCCGAAAATATTCCCAAATTCTCAAAAAAAAAAAAAATTATAGCCTTAACAGAAATTTGCAATGCAAAAATATGCAAAGCTTCTGCGGCGTTGCAAAAATTTATTCGATAGTGGCTCTCGCTGATATACATACAATTAAAGGAGGACCCGCAGAGTGTGCACTTAAAACAAGTAGCTAAATAAATAACTGCGATGTATTGGAAATGTACTTTACGATACTGAATTGAGTGCTTTTCGATTATTGTCGGTTTAAATTTCACACGAAATTCAATGAAAAAATTAAGAGTCGCCAATTCGAGTTATACATGTAGGTATACATATACACATACATATCAATGCAACATGCTGCTTCGAAAACACTCTACATTTTCGGATTTTGGTAAGAGTGTGGTAAACGCTAAGCTAAAATATGTAATTGAATTTTACGACTGCTAAGTGCATAGAATGTGGAATAAATAATGAAATCAAATAAAAATTTAAACTAAATGGAAAATATTAGTATTTTGTTTCATACTATGAATATACCAAAGAAGGACTAAAGATTTTTTGTTTTTTTAAAATTGTTTGATCTAAAGTATAAATCTATACGAGTTTTCCTTCAGCTTTTCATATAAAGGGAGTAATTAAGAAACCATTTCCGCTCTTAACAATGTTTTTTGTTTTTTTAATTATACGCAGATAAAGTTATGTGTCAAATGTACTGTATTCATATAGTACACCATGTCGTATGAGCAATACAGAATGTATAAATCACTTGTATGAATACCCTGGTCATTTGATGTATAAATTTAACGGCATATAACTTCTAAAAGAAATGTTTTTTTGAAAGAAATTAACCGTCAAAAACCATTTTTATAGAGCGTAAAATATAAAATTAGTATATGTATTTACCTAAGCTGTAGATGTATTTGCTTAGTGCAAAATATAAAGAAGATCCCACGTAAAATATAATATATGGAAAAAGTAAAATGATTGTATTAGCAATGCTAACCATTGATAGTAATGTTGCCTCCATCTACAATTTTCAAAATTTAAAAAAAGTATGGACCTATTTGAAGTGAAAAATGTTCCACACAATAATTTTTTCTAGATGCAAGGGAGCCTGAAAAGCCTATTAAGAATTGATTACATTCTAAGCACGAAAATTTTTTTCTTTATAAGATATTATAACTACATACAAGTACATATGTGACACAGTAATATTTCGAATAATATTTGCTTTTTTTTTTTTTGATTCCATGCAACTACGCATTTTTGTCAACGGGTTGCAATGACATCACTGTTCAGCTTTTTCCTTTGGTACATATTTCGGAATGCTTTAGCTATTTTTCAATATTTAAAGTGTTAAATAAATACCATATACATGCCAATAACAACTGATAGCATCTTCTATGTCGAATATGAGACACGTGTTTCGTTGTTTGTCGCAAATAGTTTATGTCCTCTTATTGTGGAGGCAATGTTTACTCTTTTGCGGTATTTTGCGACAACCATGGCGCCACTGTCGTTTCGTTTAAACATCATATTCTTGCTTTGCTTGACATCACGACTGGTTGACTCCACGCTTTGTGGCTCATGCGACTGTATATTAGCTGCAGTGAAGATTCACATGATTGAATTTAAGCGATTAATTTTATTATTTTTATGAACCAGTGTAGGTGTTACGGATATGATTATATAGATCTATGATTATGTAGGTCCTGGCTTCAGTCTCTGTTTGAGGAACAAAGAAAAGGATCCTATTTTCTTATGGCCTCTCGATAGGCATTAGTAATTTTTGTACTAATGAAAATAATTTTCAAAATACGTATTCGAGGCATGAGGTTGATTTAAAATTTGTGAGTCCTTTTCTTGAACGAATCAATATTCAGACCAAAGAATTCGATTTTATGCCAAGAGCATGCTGTACAATCAATAAAAGGAGCTAAATATCGGATACGGAAATTATTATTATTTTTTCCTCATAGTCACAGTTATTGTAAGATATTTGTTTAATATATCTCACAGCTCAAAGGAAAAGGTTACGTTATAAACATTGAGTTAAATCTATAATTCATGGCATTTGTTCAAATTTTGATTTATCTCACTATGTGATCTTTTTGGATGCTCCCAGTGTCCTAAACACGACAGCTTTTATATGCAACACTATAAGTAGCTCAATAATATTCCACTTCCTTCACAAAAGGATCCTTTGCAGACGAGCAATATTAGTTAAAACAAATTTAAGTCATTGCTGTCCACATTAGACTCCTTCGAAAAATTTCGTAGACATCGAAACTACAACAGGATTGGCAGCATATTTGTGAACCCATCAACCGAAGGTAATTATTTTTCTTTCGCGACATCCCTATTATTTTATACCATGTAAAACCTCAAAGTGAAATACCTGTTTTAAATGGAGACCTAGATTGAAAAAACTACTCAGTTCCCCGAGGTTCTAAATATGGACTCCTTATTTGTTATGTCTGATGAAATTTCGAGATTCAAAGGGTTAAAACTGGGTTCATAGTTCATTAATGTGAACCACATTTCTCAGTAAGCAGCATTTCCTTCTACATACATACATATATACGTTGTATCTGTAGTTGGGTAAAGGATCATTCTCTGTATGACTAATTTATTCCAGACTTGCTAAATGTTTTACAAGATAATTAAGCACCTGAACTGTTCGATAAAATTGTTTTTCCTAGACTCGCAGCTACGAAATTGTTTAGAATGTTGCAGAAGTTTATTGGGGAGTCTACTTTATGACAAACACAAATATTGGAGTAGCGCAAAGCATTCAGTGAAGGTATTGAAATCATCGAAAACTTTCTCATGCGAGTCGTCCATCCACCTCTGCTAATGACGATAACATCGAAAAAGTTGGAGTCATAGTGCTTGAATCGACATGTTGGTATCAGAGAGATGACAGAAGATCTCAACATTGCTTATGGATCGACTCAATACATTTTGGTTAATGCTTTGGGTATGAAGCGTGTCAATACTAAAGTCGTGCCAAAAGACTTAAATTTTTTCCAAAACGACGTCGAGTTGAAGTCGCAAAAGGTATGCTTGATGATGAAGCTGAGGGACGTAGGTTTATGACTATGATGTTGGAACTTTCGAAAAATCTAGCGAATGGTGCTCCAAAAAAGCCGAAACCCGCAATAATCCAAATTCGCTGAAGGCGCTAAAGGCCATCCCAATCAAAGCTTATAACAAGTGTATGGAAAATTGTGTTTAGTGTTGGCATGCTTCGTCTTCAAAATAAGCGACCAATATATTTTGAAGAATATTAGTATTAAAATGCATGTAAATGTATATTTTTGTTAGTCCGTGAGTCATTGATCAGATGATAATTCAGGGAATAATTTCTGGATCGGAATGCGAACTTGAACTCGACGTAGTGAATTTATTTTCTGCATATGAATATATAGTTCTTCACAGAAAAATCATTAAAATAGCTGATTTCTCTAAGTAGTCATAATAATCTATAGTCGCTTCCTTAGTCTTCTGCAGATCAGATAGAATATATTATATTACTTCCTACACATTTTATTCAGATTGAGTTGCCATTTGTAGGTAAGGAATGTATAAAATAGAG